GAGAGAGAGAGAGGGTTTGGGCACGATGGGCAAGAGATAGTGCCCTTCTTGGCTTTTTTTTTTTGGAAGAGATTATGGAGGATGTGTTGGAGGAAAGCTTTGGCTGAGGATGCCTTATGGATAATCATTCTCATGTAGAGTTTCTAGGTCAATTTGTTCTAGAGAGAAAAGAGAGGAGAGAATGGATGATAAAAGAGGACACTAGAAAAAAGCCCCGGTTCTTTTGTTGACCTGGTGGTAGAATCTTCTCCGTCCAAATAAATGGATGGTTGAGATAGTTGCAGCCTTTCTTCAATAAATAGGTCTGCAGACTAATAGAAACTGTATCCATATATATATATGTGTGTGTGTGTGTGTGTGCACGTGCGTGTTTATATATCTGACACTTAAAACATTAACCTTTGTAAAGTGTATACTATCCTGTTGTATGCTATTCCTTTATATATGGAAACACTACAAAATGCCTATAGGTAAAGTTCTACAGTACTTCACTTATAGCTCATCACCATCCAAAGTTCATCACATGGTCACAGATGTCCGATAACGTTTGAATTTTAATAATTTTTTCAAAATCACAATGATCTGAATTTTGTAGATGTGTGTGCCTTAGTGAGGCACACTTGAATGAACTATAAAAAAATAATTTGGATGATAAAAATGACCTAAAATACCCCTATATTTTAGGAGAATTTTTGTCATTTTATTTTTTGACGATTATTTTTTTAATATTTTATTTTGGTGCGAGTTAGTTATATGTACACAGGCCTCAAATTTCAGATAAATCTGACTGGTAAAATAATTATTAAAATTCAAACACTACAGGACAACCGTGACCGTGTGATGGACTTTCGGCGGTGATGAGCTATAGGTGAAGTACTGTAGAACATTACCTATAGGCATTTTGTAGTGTTTTCCTTTATATCGTAATATGAATTACCTTCAGATTTATGTATATGAATGTTTATATTTTGCATAATAATTTATATTAGTACTACGGTTTTATTATCCGACTGACCCCAATTAGTTGGAATAAGGCTTTGATGATGATGATGACTACGGTATAAATATCTACTATAATTATATATCAATATAAATCATCATCAAATTATGTATATGAAACTTTGCATAGTTAGAAGTTCCATGAAGAATGCAGGACATGGTGCTTGTACTCTAAAGATGGAATGTGATGTTTGGCTTGTTTCTCCAGTGCCAAAGAGAATATGAAGACCTTTTGGGTGATATGCGAATATTGGGGGAGTTGCATAGGTTTAGTGTTCACCAAATCTAGTATGCCCACAAATATGGGCAAAATTTTTGAAAGTGGGGTTGTTTATCAGACAATATGTGTTTGATTGTGGGTTGGAAGTTCCCAATGTATATTCCCAAAGAAGGGAAGGGGTGAGCAGTTCAATTGGGTGTAAAGCATTTTGGCAATGGCATGGTCACTTAACCAACCATAATTACGGTCTATATGCATATATGTTAGAATTGGAAAATAGGAAGTACTATAATTTTTAAAGAAGGCAGAAATCTCCTTGAAGGAGATGAGGACAACATCACCCCCAACAGTTGTCTCTTCTCGCATTATACATAACAGCAAGCATTAAACAAGAAAATAATTTAACAGGTTCTACACGCTTTCACATCCCAATTTTTAACGGGGTTCATTACACTCCAATATTTAACAGGGTTCATCACACTCCAGCATTCCATTTCTAAGCTGGAATGCAGTTAAAACATTTTCAAATTGCTAGTTAGCTCTTTTAGTTCCTTTTGGCTTTTGTAACATCTATAATATTCTCTGGAGTTCGAAAGAAAAGGAATATTGATGATTCCTTCCTTGACGCCCTCACTTAATAATGAAATGAATCATTATGCTATGTGAACTTATGAAATCTTGGATGTTTAGTTGTCTAGAAGTCAAGGACAATCTTATTGTAAAGATTTTGAACTACTTGCAATCTTGTCCAAGAAAATGAACCATCATTAATCCTTCCCTACTTTTGGTCCAAATTATTGATTTTGATAAAATTGGATGCATCAAAGCATCAGATGAATTATGGCATATCATACCTTCATTGGCAAAAATTTGGTCATTTGGAAAAGTAGCATCAATGAGTGTCCATCTCCAGTGCAAAATCAAACTACCAAACCATGTTAAGGCACTTGTGGGAAAACCTCTCTCTCTTTTTCTCTAATTTTTAAAGGTTGTTGAACTATGTTTTTGTTGCCTATAGCATAGATTTTGGGCACAGGGAAAATAATTCTTGGTTGATTTGTATAGTGGCTGCCGAAAAAGCCTATTTTCATCAAGAAAGAGAAAGCCTATGATCATGTGGATTGGGTCTTCCTCAATTTCCTTCTCGGTCAAGTGGGTCTTGGTCGCTAGTGAAGAGGTTGGATGTATGTGCTCCCAAACCTTGTTTCTCGATCTTGACGTATGACTATCTTCATGTCTCTTTTGGAGGCTCAAAAGGCCTTATGAGGCAATAATCTAATGTTCTCTCTTTGTCTCCTAAAGGGTTTTGGATTCCACCTAAAAGCTCCATGATATTTCACCTTTAGTTTGCGTATGATGCCCTTATTTCTATGGTCTTCACCACATCTTCAAGCTATTTCCCATGCAGTCTTAGAATTGGCTCTTGCTGAGCTCTTATACTTGAGATATCTCTTCAAATTTACCTTGGGTTGGAACAATGGTGGTTGAACCTAATTCAGTAATGGGGATATTTCCAACTAAACTATGCCTCTTTGGTCGTAGTGCTGTAGCTACTTTGAGAAGATAACCAAAGCATTCTTCATGAAGTTACTCAGGATCTGTAGCTTTTCTCCCGCTAGCTTTAGAATTTCAAAATGCATAACATGAATAAACATGGAATACACCATCAGGATTTGATTTTACATCTTCTCTTTTTCATTCAGGTGAATAAGTCAAGTCAACCCAACTAATGCTTTGATTCAGTATTGATGCCTATAAAGGAATGTATCAATGCCGACTGTAACATGTAAAAGACCTGACGAGTCAATTTAGATTCCAGTAAATCTGAAGTGGATCACTCACGCTTAAGATCATGGCTCTTCAAGTGCTGAATCTGAGTGGTCTTAATCTGTCCCAATGTAGAACAGCCTAACCATGGAAAGTTGATCACCTTGACAAGCTATTAAATTGGCAACAGATATTATGATCCTGTGGGAGTATCTGTCCATTTACTCCCTCATGTAAAATTCAATCTAGGATTAACTTTATGATCTCAAATTTTGGGGGTTTAACCTATTCAACCAATAAACTAATCTCAATAGAAAAACAATTCCAAATTGCGTTCTCTATAGGCTTGAAAAGAATAATCTCTCAAGATTTAAGAGAGGCTGTTCAATTTTTGGAGGATGAGAGCTAAGTGTTGGAAATTTTCAAATTCAAGTTTTTTCTTTTGAAAATGGTCATCTAGCGATTCTTAGGTCGTTCCCAAAATTTCAGACTAAAAACAGTCTCTCAAGTAGGTTTTCTAACTGAGGGAGTAAGATATATACCATGGTATACACGCCCTTAAAATTTTTGATTTGTTGTTTTTTTTCTTCTTTTTGTGTTGTCTAATTTGCTGACTTAACTAAAGTCGATAGGGTTATCACAACTCAGTAGTGTTCCAATGAACTTCTTTTACCGATTCTTTTAGAATTAGAACTTATTAGTTCTCTCTGTCTCGACATATATATATACACGCATACATATATAATGACGCATTCTTAAGTTCTTGTGTAGCATGACTTGTGCGTGGTGTGGGATGCTTCGTCATCATCACTACATGGTCAAGCTGTTTCTCATATTCTGCTGGTTCCTGTTCTCGTTTTATTAGCAGCTTTAATTCTCTCTCTCAATCTCTCGGAAATATATATATATATATATATATATATATATATAAGTTTGAGATGTCTTTGATCAAATGCTATGAAGACTACCTCCCTTGTGACATATGATAGCTATCTGAAGAGAAAGTTGAAGATAAAAATTTAGTGATTTCTTTAGTGGATTTTTGGGTTATAAGTGAAAGTTGGTATTGGAAAATAAGGACAATTAGTTGAGTTAGATGAAATGAAAGAAGGATAAATTAAATGGTGTCTGATTGGTATATGATGTATGTCATGCATGTGGAAATACGTGGATTACATTATATTTTTTTGAAGATAGAGCATGCTTTTTTCTCTTTTTTTTTTGAGTATTCAACTTTGTCTTATTTCTATCGGTAATTGTAGTTGGATGCTTAAGTGCTAAAGCCATTGCTAATTCATATTTTATAGAGTAGCCTCAATTTAGTTTCCTCTGTTTTTCAGTCATCAACTATCTCCTATTCATATCTATATTATAATTGGATATATTGATACTTAATTTTATTACTAGGTCTTTTTTTTTGAATAAGTGGGCTGTAGCCCACACCATAATTTGGCTTTTTATCACTAGCTCTTTAAATTGGGAGCATTGAAAATGTTGTATTTGTTTTCCCAGATTACTACCGTTCATATCAATTGAATTTTATTGCTAAGATTTATATTAAATGCTTTGAACTCAATGTTCTTGTTTGTCCCAGATTACTACTGTGGATGAGGCTAAGCAATTCTATCCCCTATTTGGTCTTGGGGCAAATGTTGCCCTTATTTTCTCAGGCCGAACCGTGAAGTACTTCTCAAATATGCGGAAGAATTTGGGCCCAGGTGTGGATGGTTGGGCCATATCTCTCAAGGGAATGATGAGCATTGTTGTGCTCTTGGGGCTTGTAATTTGTGGGATTTATTGGGGTGTTAATACTTTTGTTTTGCCTGCTGTGCCAAAAATAGAAGCCCGCAAGAAAAAGGTATGTAGTTTGACTTTGTTCAAGTTGGCTGTCTTCTCTTTGCCTTTTGTCTTATCAATCTTTGATGATTGTAATTGGGTATTTGTAGGAGAAGCCGAAACTTGGGTTGGTGGAGAGCACAAAATTCTTACTGTCGTCAAGATATGTGAGGGACCTTGCTATGTTGGTGGTTGCCTATGGAATCAGCATTAACCTTGTTGAGGTCACTTGGAAATCAAAGCTCAAGGCTCAGGTAAATGAATTACTTTCTTCTTGCAATAATCTGTAAATCATCTCCATCTTTCTGTTATTAGTAAATCAAAGCACTAAAAGTGGATCAGATTTTTGTAAATTTTTGATGCAAAGTTTTCATTTTGATGTAACTTTTGGTAATCTTTATTTTGCAATTAATTGCTTACCATAGAGAGGAATAACAACACATTTAACCCTAAGTTAAAATTTAGCATTTCATATTAATCCTAATATTTTCTATAGAAAAACATAATACCCTAGGGATATCATGTATTTCATTGTCTGTATTTTCTTATACGTGTCTCTGTTGGCTTATAATCCATGTGATTTTTCTTGGAACTGGATAATGCTCCAGTCTCTAATGGAAGCTGGCAAATGACGCCTCACATCCTATAGTATCAATAAATTAAAACCTTATGGGGATTGGGTTACATGCTTTGAACAGTGTTTGGAAAATTGAGAGAAATGCATGGATTTTTATTTTGGAAAGTATAATTACTAATGCTAACTGAAATCCCTTTCCTTTTTTTCTGTTCTTTCCTCTTCCCATATTTCCAGGTGTTAAGTTTGTCATTTATTTGAATGATCATTCTTGAGTTTTGCTCTCTCTTCTTTTTGGATGGGTATGCTCAGATTTGATCTGATGACCATGTCCTACAGTCCATATGCCCAACCACTGAGCCAAAAAGTTGAACCCCTATGAATTACTTTTAGGGAACGTAAAATATAATCATAGTCCGTTGGGGTCATCACTGTCCTTAGAAATGATTGATGGTGGTGAAGATAGAGAAAGACCCGAAATAACTGGACATGACATCGGTTGTGTCTTTACTCACTTCATCACTGTCCATCATTTCAGTCGGTGATGTTGAGAGCAATTGGACTTGGGTTATAGTATGATTTCCATTCCATTCATTACTTTTATCTTTCTTTGAACTTGCAGTTCCCTAGCCCAAATGAGTATTCTGCTTTCATGGGTGATTTCTCGACTTGCACGGGTATTGCAACTTTTACAATGATGCTTCTCAGTCGAGTCATCCTTCAAAAGTATGGATGGGGTGTTGCTGCCATGATAACACCGACTGTTTTACTCCTCACTGGAGTCGGGTTCTTCTCCCTTATTTTGTTTGGGGATCCCTTGGCTCCTGCACTGGCAAAGTTTGGTATCACACCACTTCTTGCCGCAGTTTATGTGGGTGCCATGCAAAACATTTTCAGCAAGAGTGCAAAGTACAGCTTGTTTGATCCCTGCAAAGAAATGGCTTACATTCCATTGGATGAAGAGACTAAGGTACGGAATGTACATACAAACAAGATACACAGGGAAGGAGGGAGCACTTCTGTTGTTCATGATTGAGAGAGGGAGCTTCTGTTTGTTTATGATTTAATTCACTCCCGTGAAACACACAAGCGCACACACACACACACACAGGGGGAGAGAGAGAGAGCACTAGCACTTTTGATTGTCCATGATTGATAGAGCTTCTGTTTGTTTATGATTGATAATTCACGCCCCTGACTAGTGTTGTCCATGATTGAGAGAGGGAGCTTCTGTTTATTTATGATCGATAATTCACTCCCCTGACTAGTGTTGTCCATGATTAAGAGCGGGAGCTTCTGTTTAGATAATTCACTGCCCTGACACACACACACACACACACACACACACACACACACACACACACACACACACATATATATATATATATATATATATATAGAGAGAGAGAGAGAGAGAGAGAGAGAGAGAGAGAGAGAGAGAGAGAGAGAGAGAGAGAGAGAGAGAGAGAGAGAGAGAGAG